GAGTAGGGGATAAGGTGGTTAGTGGATTATAGGTAGTTATAATAAACCATAAATCCAATGTCTCTATTCAGTCCATTATGTTTAATGTCTAACAAAGTTGGAATTTAAACTCTCAGGCTCATTTTTTGAAGTTATGAAGATTTCCTTTAAAAATGAGGAGTGAGAGGTCAGATATAGAGTGGTTGCTTTCTGAAAAGTATGCACCCATATGTTTTAGGGTGCTTTTGTCTTTTATCATTTTTCTGTGTGTGCTCATTCAAGAGCACACTGGTTGTCTAGTTTTAGCCATGTAACTGTTGTTGGGGCATTTACTGCACTGGATAAAGTATTCCACATATTGTGATAGACGTGGCTCTTGAAATGTGTGTTTTGGAGAGTGTTGATCATAGCACAAAATATATGTCTACAAGTTTTCATGTGTTCTGGCAGAGTTTTGTGCAACTTTGTGTTCCCTGATGTATTTTTGGATCAGCACATCTATAACACTGTCTGTGCTGTTTGTGGCAGAAAAGGAATATCATTAAATGCTATGGAGCACAGGAACATGGGGAGGGGAAAGATGGGACAGTTAGACCAGGTCTACACTAAGGGAGAAGGTTGACTAAAGATAAGCAACTCCAGCTATGTGACCATTGTAGCTGGAGTTGACATATCTTTACTCAAGTTTCCGCAGTGTCCCCACTATGGAAGCTCAACAGAAGAAACTTTCCCATTTACTTCCCTTACTCATCACAACCCAGTGGAGTACTGGAGTCGACGGGGTGCCATCTGTGGTTGAATCAACCCCCAGAATATCAGTCAGGAAAAGCTTCCTCAAGGCAACATCAAGCTGGTATATAAATTAATAAAATAATCTTTTGCGTTATACTTTGAAAATGTAACTACTACTATTATGCTTTACAACAGGCTTGTGAGACAGGTAAGTATTCCCTCTATTTAGATGAAGAAACTGAGACAAGTGTATGCATCCAGTCAGTTTCAAAACAGGAATTACAATTTGGGAGTTTCACTTTCCCACTCTCATGCTTCACCCACTCTGTCATACTACCTCTAGCAGGCTGTCAAATTCATTCCCAAGGGAAATTATGAAAATGTCATTGTCAGATATATTTAAAACCAGATAGGCCAAAGTACAAAAATATATATAATTTAAGACTGTACTAAATGAGTGAGTGTGAATGGAAAGAAAATAGGTTCTGTAAAAAGGAGAGATGATGTGAGCAGACATTTGACAGTAGGAAGCCTATTTTGGGGACATTGTTAAGCTGGATGCATGGGAGTCTATGCAATGAGAACCAAAAACTAATCCTCCCATTTGGGCATTTCTAGCTACCAAAACGTTCTTTGTTGTTCCCTCTTCGCATACTTAATATTCTGTTTTCTGTATAGTATCCCAACACATCAGTGCTTGCTGTTCTTATATCTTTCTTCATGTTTTAAATAAATGTGTAGTGAACTGAGCTCTTGCTTTCATTTCAGTTCAGCTTAGACACTCCTGTCCAAGTCATGTAATTGTAACCAAATCTTAAGTCAGCAATATTTAAGAAACTGTAATTTTAGTTTTTATTTAACAAAAATTTAATCTTTTTCTAAAGTTAAATGTAAGAAGCTTTCTAAAGATTAAGAAAAGTAACTTGTGACCAGTGTTCCCTAATCTTTTTCATCCCTGTACAGATGTTTTCCATCTATGTTCAGAATAAATGTTATGTGCACCAAGGCATGTGTGATTGTGCATGACCAATAGAAACAAAACCCAGCTATGGGCGCTCTGCTAATCTGCTGGGAAGCATTTGAATCTCTCCTGATTGGCCATACAAATGTACGGCTTAGAGGGAACCCTGCTGGTGCTTATAGTTTGGGGACATGCTCAAAATATATTTTTCAAAAGTTCATTTTATTTAGATGTAATTGATAATTATGTAACATTTCAAGTCACCTTTAAAAATTTAAAATTGTGAAATGAATTGTGAAATGAAACACATAGCGATTACTTTTCATCGATTTAAATTATGGTCTCAGCAAGAGAAAACCACCTCTCAGATCCATGTGAAGGATTTTGCTTCCAATATTTTTCTTTCTACTGAACCACAGTTCCCATCAAAGAGCAGCATATTTCTTTATATCTGTTACAAGACTATAAGAGAGGAATTTTGCTCTTAATAAAAATGCACAGCATAATAGGAAACCTTGATTTAAAGTATTATCCAGAATTATATGACCGATCAAAAGAATAATTTTTTAAAAATCCACACAGATCTGAAATTTTGTGTTGATAAGTTTCATTAGACCTATGCGGAATAGAGGAACAAAGAGAATGAAAAACCAACTGCATAATGTATATGGAAGGTGAACAGCTGAAGCATTTTATATTTAATTACTCTGCTTTATCTGCTAGCTGAAATATTTATGTTGGCAATGAATCCCTGTAAACTGAAGCCAGAACATACTGTTTTTGCATACTTAAATGTAAAAAGTAATTAGCGAATGGCTGGCCTGTTTATGTAGTGTATAACAGTACTAGGCACTATGATACAGAGACTGTTTTGGGGAGTGTCTTACACAGGATGAAGTAAGGGAGCAGCATGCAATTCCCCTTTCACCTCCTAGCTGCTAGTCACAGCAGAATTTGTCTGTCTGTTTTTTTTTTTTAAAGGCCTGTACTTTGATGCTACCTGCTATGACTGCAACTATTTTAATTTATCTTTGAGATCTGTTGTCAATATTTATCCATTTAACCACAGTCATAAAAGTTAGAGATGGGAGCAAAACTGTTATCTAGTCCTTTTCTCTGCCAGGTCAGGGTTCTTTACGAAGGAATATTTTTCACATCATTTGTACAGTCTAATTGTAAATGTCTCTAACAGATTTCACAGCTTCCCTTGGAAAACTATTCCACTACTGATCAGCAGTTTCTCCTGAGACTCAGCCTACAATTTTTTGCTTCTTAATTTGAAACTAGTTTCCAATTATGTTCCTATACAACCCTAAACAATTCCTTTCTCCATATGGCCTTCCTTATTTGTAGATGGTTACGTTTTGCTAAATCTTTACTTATTGTAGATGACAGTAAGAATGTCGTCTTAATATACTAGAGAGAAAATATCTCAAAGGGAAATCCTTGAAAGTACTCTTTCTTTTACAAGTTCTTGAAAGGGCTCTTTGAATTCTATTAATGGTCCAAGATTAACCTGTATGCTCAAGACTGAGAGGGACAGAACTCATAGTAGCCACTTTTTCTGATCGAATTCTGTAGAGATTATCTGAGGGTGGAGAAGGTTTGATTAAAACAGAAGAGGAAAGAATCATTCCTACATAAAGATCAGCAGTGTAGTTTCTATAGGTATAATGTTGTGAAGACCAGGACTTTAACAGGGTTAAAAAAAAGAACTAGATAAAGTCATGGAGGTTAAGTCCATCAATGGCTATTAGCCAGGATGGGTAGAAATGGTGTCTCTCGCCTCTGTTTGTCAGAAGCTGGAAATGGATGACAGGATGATGATTACCCGTTCTGTTCACTTCCTCCGGGGCATCTGGCATTGGCCACTCTCAGAAGACAGGATACTGGGCTGGATGGACCTTTGGTCTGACCCAGTATGGTTGTTCTTATATAGGTAGATGGAATGACATACTTCAGGGGAGTGTGATTAATAATAAACTCAACCTTAATAAACTCAATAATTATAGAGCTCAACCTTGGCTCTGTGGTAGGATTTGTTGGACTCAGCCATAATCTTAAACCGATCCTTTCAAATAGAGAGCATATGCTGAGTTTAAGTATGTATGATGCTGCTAATATCTGTGTGTTATGTGTTGAGGTTACATTTAGGAATGGTAAAATTCTGGCTGGACTGCTGCTGTTGACAGACAACTGTCTATTTATTAGTGAAACAAAGGAGGCATAAGTGTCTTTTTTAAACCTTGACGTTAGAAACAGACGGTGACCTTCCACTGAGGAGAATTAGGCAGAGTTATAAAAGGTATTGCTAACAGCTCAGTTTTAACAGATCTTGTGGGTACTGTAGCAGGTAATCTCTCTTCCAAAAGCCTGCAGTTTCTCTGAAACTTGCATTTTAAATGTTACTTATTTGAGTAATTTTTATCTCCTACATTTAGATTAAAATATGGTTTTTATTTGTTCATTTTGTAGAACAACAGCAGTGACAGTCAAGAGGAAATGGAGAAATAACGTAACATGTTGGAAGCACTGCCTCCAGAAGGGCAAATTAGAGATCAGGAAATGGAATAAGCATTGAGGACACTTAATGAGGGATTCAGACAGTGGAGAAAAAAAGAGCAGGAAGGGCCTGCTCAGTAACCTAATAGTAGTGGCAGTATGCTACCATGTAGGAGCTAAAGATTGAATTTCCAGATTTGGTATTTGCTTGTTGGGTAGAAGATGCAGTTGAAATATGAAATGGAGAACAGTTATGTGCAGCTTTGATGTACTGATTTACCCCCCCCTCCCCCCCTCCCCCCCAATATTAAGAAGTAAAATCCCATTTTGACACAGAGATGCTTCTGGGTTGTACCAAGTTTCAAAATCTTACTGGGGAAGAATTCCCCTTTTCATGTACTCCTCTGCTTGAAAATGTAAGTTTACATTTCACCTTGACGACTTTGAAAAATAATGTGGAAAAAATCATCTCTGAAACGACTCCTTTTACTGCACTGAAGGTGCATAAAAATAAATATGGCTTTAGGATTTAACATAAGTAAATCATACCTTAAAGTTCATGCAGGCATGAACAGAATTTTAATAACAGCACTAAAATGTTTGTCTGTGGGTTTTACAAAATGTAAAAACTTATGGAGCATTTTTTCCAAGGATTTCTCTGACACAGACTATGCTTAAGATACTGTTTGTTTTTCAGATTTCTTGTCTTTTTCTTAGATTGTGCGAGAAACCACCAGTGTGAAAAATCTGTGAGAAAATGGTAATATATGGCTAGACTGATATGGATTCTCTTAAGGGGCTCTTTTGCTTTTTGTTTATATAATAGGCAGAAGACATCTTGAGGCAAGAGCTAGAAAAAAAGGAAACACCAGGATTATATTGTTTGCTTGGTGATGTTCTTAAAGATCACCTCTACTATGACAAGGCTTGGGAGTTATCGAAGCATCGCAGTGCCCGGGCCCAACGCTCCAAGGGACTCCTTTATCTTCGCCACAAAGAGTTCAGACAATGTGTGGAGTGCTTTGAACGCTCAGTGAAGATTAATCCTATGCAGGTTGGGAAACAAAAACAAATATGGTTTTTAAAGTTCGCATTTTAATTAAATTGTGTTTTTAAATGTAGTTTTCAAAATTTAAAAGCATGTTAACTGTGTTTGTAAATGATCAGAATAACAGTTTGCACTTTATTAATGTGTTAAATATTGCTCAACTTCATGGGAGAGACTAAAGCTCTGTCTAGAAGCAGCATAATGGGGGAATAGACATGTACAAGCCTCCTATGCAGGTCTTGTGATTAAATTAAGACTGTGCTTGTTGCATCCCCTCTGTCCCCCAAAATGCCAAGACCCTGCAAATGAAACTAAACCAGATAGCCATTTTCAGTAGAGAATGGTACAAACATGACTGGTAGGAACTAGATCAAGGGAAAACCAAAGAACTGGAGTTGTCTTAATATAGAATAATTGGATTGCTCAAATGAGTTGGAAACAAATCTCTGGACTATCCTGGCTAATTGCATTAAAATGCAGTTGATACACTAATGAACTGTATATTCATGAATTCATGTAATAATTATTTCTCAGTATTGACTAGGGACATAGAAGTATTTACCTACTAAAGAAACAGTTTCTGCTGCAGTTTACTATTATTTTGGAAAGTGACAGGCTTATGGTTGCCACTAAATGTTTCAGACTTAGGGCATGTCTAGATGCCGTTGTTTTTTTTAAAGGAGATATGCAAATTTGGTGCAAATTTGCATATCTTCCAATCACTTTTTCGAAAGCGGGTTTTTCAAAAGTGAAAGTCTGCACGCGGTTTTTTGTTTGTTTGGGGTTTTTTTTCAGGGAAAACCCCTTTTTCAAAAAACTGCATAAACCTCCTTTTTTTAGGAAGACCGTAGTTTTCGAAAAAGGGTTTTGTCCATTAAAAACCTATGTCCATACTTTCCAGCAGGCACTGTGCCTCACAGAGGACTGCTAGAGTTCTTGAACAAACATGGGAGACACACCCACGGTTCATACCCCATAACTTGTCTTGGACTTGTGACTTCTGCACGTCTCTTGGCTGGCAAGTGGTTCTAGGCCAATACAGTTTTTGCCCTTGGGTGAGTTTGAGGAATTTTGACTATGACAGCAGAAAGAAAGGGTGGCACTTCAATGGCTTATCCCTCCCCCTGTGTAGTAGCTAACCCCATTCTGGTCCTTTGTGAAGAGATCTTGCAGTTTGACAATAAACAGAAAACAGATAAGAAATGTCACTGAGCATGCAGGGCTCTCCTAGCAACACAGTCTGCATGAGATAGTACAGAAAGGGAGAAGGTTCCACAAAGTAAAGTAGTAGCAGGAAAATAGAATGTCATCTGATCTGTGTGTCCAGGTAAGATCCAGAAACAAGTTTGTAGCTGAGAACCCCGCACCAAGCAGATGAGCTGAAAAAGTCTGGTATAGCAAAATGGAGCTTTCTTTCAAAGTGTCAAAGATCTATCTCTTGATTCCAGGGGATTGAAGGAAATTTGGAATCTTCTCCCCAAAACCACCTACAAGAAATAAGGGAAGAGTGAGCATCAACAAAAAAGCCTTGATTTGTTGTGAGAATTAGGGTACTGTGCATTTGGAGAAAAGAGGGTACCAACAGGTACAAGCAGTAAAGTAATCTAATCCTTTAAATTCTAGAGATTATGATTTCTGGTACCTTTGTCGTCATTGTGTAACCAAGAGTGTTTCTTCAAGTGATGTCCCCATGGGTGCTCCACTGTTGGTGTTGGGCTTGTTCCACGTTGCAGATCAGAAACTTTTCTAGCAGTTTCTAGATGGGCCACGCATGCTTGACAGCAATGCGTTCCATTTGTGCCTTTGGAATTTGCGCACACCCTGCCCAACTCCCTTCAATTCCTTCTTGCCACCCTCGGCTGCAGACACAGCTCCAATCTTTCTCTTTTTCTCTTACTATCTGTGGATGGAAACTTAGTTAACTGTTTGTTCCCCATGTTTTTCTTTTAATAGTTCAAAAACAAACAAACAAACTACCAAAAAAGAGTTTCTTGTAAATAATTAGAAGTCATAGTTAGCTGTTGCGCAGTCCTTCATGGGCAACGTGCAGTGAGCGTCAGACCACTTCAGGCCTTCTGAGAGAAAGAAAGACTAGGACAACTAAGGAAAAGACCATTTAGTTTGGAAAAAAGAAGATTAAGGGGGGACATGATAGCGGTTTTCAAATATCTAAAAGGGTGTCACAAGGAGGAAGGAGAAAATTTGTTCCTCTTGGTTTCTGAGGACAGGACAAGGAGTAATGGGCTTAAAGTGCAGCAGGGGAGGTTTAGATTGGACATTAGGAAAAAATTCCTAACTGTCAGGGTGGTCAAATATTGGAATAAATTGCCAAGGGAGGTGGTGGAATCTCCCTCTCTGGAGATATTTAAGAACAGGTTAGATAGACATCTGTCAGGGATGGTGTAGGTGGAGCTTGGTCCTGCCTTGAGGGCGGGGGGCTGGACTCGATGACCTCTTGAGGTCCCTTCCAGTCCTATTATTCTATGATTCTATGATTGAGCGACAAAATGCTGGGTTCTCTCGGTTTAAATAAATGTAAGAAATGCTGGGACCCCATGCCTGTGTCTGACAGCCATGCTGACTATATTCGCTGTCTGGATGAGACTTATGTCTCCCAGAAATGCATTCATTGCCGCAGCCTCACAGCCAGGGCTTGCAATGATAGAGAGCTGAGACAGTGTATGTTGTTTGACAAAGCACTCAAGCATCAGTCAAACAAGGAAGGCACTAATCGTTCTGAGGCTTCTTCCCCTCTGAGGAACCCGTCAAGCTCTCCCGCACCTAAGCCTCAGTCAAAGAGAAAAACCTCGCCACCTTGTTCGCTCCCGCCATGAATTAGCACAGGAGATAAGCCAGGCATGTCAGGTACTGAAAGACTCCATGCGGCATCAGTCACAGAACCCAAATCGCGATGTTAATAGAATGCAACACCAACTATCCTGGCACTGAGAAGATCAGGAACCCAAGACTCGGACACGTCCTTGGCACTGCCAGTACTCCAGGCGCCTCTGGCATTGACCATTACCCTGGCACGGAGGAAGGCTAGGTCAAAATTCACCAGACCTTTGCCTCGCACACCAAAGCCAGAGTCTGCACTATCAGCACTGAGAATCTCGATATCGCACTAAGCTAACACCATTCCTCAGCAGGCAGACAAGACCATACTGCAATGCATACTGTGCCAGACTCAGAACCGAAAGTCAGGTCTCCTTATGAGATTGTATCAAGACATCGCTCTTGCTCCCCCCCATCAATACGAGGCTCCCCTCTCTCATCTCGATAACCTACTTTATCTCATTGTAGGGACTACCATGATGATGGTAGGAGTGTTTTCTCAACACTCCTCCCCAACATGAGCCCACACATCTTATGATGTACATTGACCATGGTATTCTCACCATGCCCAATGGCATCCAGATTGGTTGTACCATCCTCAGCATCAATCCTGCTGGTCCCCATACCGCCATTGGGCTCCTCCACAACAAAGGTCAACGGGACTCCTAACATCAGCTCAAAGATCTGCTCACATATGCTCACCAATGCCCTTCACCACCTCCAACAGAAGATCTTGAGGCAGAGGAAGGGCAGATTACTGATGACCAGACATCCAACAACCTGATGTGTCACCTACCAACAAATCCTCCTCCTGTGTGGATGAGGTTTTTGAAAATTAGAAATGTGAGGTACATCAAAGATGTAGGAAATAAATAAGTGACTTTGAAAATACTTAGCACAGAGAAAGGTAGAGTATTGCAAGAGTTGATTGATAACTTGAAGAAAAAGATTAATAGGCCCTGATTATTTTAATCCACAAGATAATTACCACTTTGTAGTAATCAAAGCACTTAACTGCTTAGGATAACTGTTTCTGCCTGAGGATTTGTTTGTTTTTAAAAGTTACCTGAAAAGAAAAAGAAAGAAATGTATTCATGTCATTGTGCCAGGAAATATAAGTATGAAGACCTACAAGCAAATTTAAAAAAAAATCTGAGTAAAAGTACACGGATAGAATGGCGATAGTAACTTTAAATAGTTCACTTTCCAGCCTGAGACTTTGAGAGACACTAGAAGATCATTGTTAAAACTGAACCTGTGGCTCATTTGGAAAGGATTGTTAGATATATCTAATCTGTAGTACTTTGGCTGAAAGTAGGTGAGTGAAAAATGTTACCTGGGATCCAAAGAAGATAGTACATTTTATAGTAAAGCGTTCCTATACTACTACAGTGGAATTAATTGACATTTTCAGCAATTTAATATATTTTTTTCTTAGATGTAGCTAGTTTTCTTTTTGATACCTCTCTTGCCTCATCTGCTGTCCCTCTTGCCCCCACCCTCCCAAAAATAGAAAGCATCTGCACCCTTGCTCCAAGATTTGGGTTCATGCTCCATAACCTTGTTTCTTTCACTTGATTTTAGCAGGGAAAATAAAACAATGCATTGCCAGTGACAGTTGCTCTACTTTAAACTTTATTACATGTGATGACAATTATTCAGTAAGATAAACTTGAATTTCAACAGTACTTTTTTTTACAAGTGAGACTAAAATAAATTGAATAATTTCCACTGAAGTTATTTTTCAGCTTAATCTTCAATTTGTTTGTTACATAGTATATTGAAAATATTCTTGCTGTATCACTAATTCAACATTTTTTGTGTTGGAGTCTATAAATGCTTCAGCATATCTCCCAAGCATTATAAGAACACATTTCACCTGCTTATTTTGGCAATACCAAAAGCTTTTTCTAATGCAGCTTACATGGAAAATTGTTAAGATCTTTCCATTGCCACAGAGGCAGCTGTGCAAGAGAAAGTTCTGGAGCCATTTATAAGAACTTAAGACCAGTAATTTAGCATCTGTGACCTTAAGCTACCTTCATCTGTGAAGCAGCTGGCAGCCTTATTGTTCCACTTTCTTCAGTTTGTAACCATTTTCCCTGATGTGGAGGAAAGTTTGAATAAAACTGGCCTTCTGCACTGTTCTATCCGACTTCTAAGACCAACAGATACAATTTAATCTGTCTACAGCAGTCTCTACTAAGTGAACTACAATTGCTTGGTCTCTCTCTGCCATTGTTGTTTACGATTAAGTTTCTGTCATGGGTATTTTTAATAAGAGTAGTGGGCAGGTTGCAGGCAGCAAGGTAGCTGTGATCTCTTCCTAATTTTTACTAAAGATAACTTGAGTAGGAGGCCGATAGTAGGAGCACTGTAGGTGGTTAACCTCTGGCAGCCTCCAGAAAGGCCCCAGGCCACTGTTCAGGCTGATTAAACATACCCACACCTACCAGACCCCCATCATTCCCCCACTTGTTCAGTCTTGGCCTGCTGCTCCAGTATCTGTGAGACTGGAGCAGCTTCCAGCCCTGCCACTGTGGAAGTTATAAAGGTCCTGGAAAGTCACAGAATCCGTGACCCCCGTGATACTCATACACTTATGCATGATCACTGTTGTACTAGTAGTGGTGATGGTAATTTGCATTAAAGTAGTATTAAAGACCCCAGTCAAGATCAGAACACTGCTGTGTTGGGCACTGAATGATCATATAGTTTACAATCTAAATAGTCAAGAGACACACAGATTGGGAGAGATTACTATTACCCCCAATATATAGAGAGGGAAGTGAGGCACAGATATTAAGTGACTTGCCTAAGATCTCACAAAAAGTCTGTGCAGAGCTGTAAATTGAATCCATATTTTCTGCATCAGTGATGGCCAACCTAGGCTAGTGAGTGGACTGCATGAATGGCCCTTCACCTCAGTGGGCCACATGAAGGTCTCCCAGGATAGAGTAACTTTTCTAGCTGTGCTTGTGTATTTGCAGTTTGCAGTTTGCATTGATTGGATGTACAGGGAGCACACAGCTCTCATTGTCAGTGTTGTGTGCAGTCAGCATCCACCTCAATTCAGTTCATGTCACTTCAGTAATGTTGATGAGGGGGAAATTTGTGAATGGAAACCAGAGGAATCTGGCAACCATACACCTGGGCAATGAATTACAAAATGTCTCATGGGCTGCACATAGAACCCTGATGGGCTGCTTGTGCCATGTGGGCCATAGATTGCCCAGCACTGTCCTGCAAGCATGGACTACAATGCTATCTTTCATATTTTCTTACTTCTCTGCAAATCAGAATCTCTGTCTGCAATTTGTATTACAAAGGACTTCTACTTGTCTTTCCAAAGGTGAGTGACTTGTCAGAACCTACCCACACTTACCTCTCCGTTTACAGAGCTATATTTTCTCAAGTATCTTTTTTTTGGGGGGGGGGTGCTACTATTATGTGTGTTACCTATCTATATATTGTGCTTCTCCAACTGTTCCTGAGATCCTTGAGAAGATGCAATATAATTCCTTCCCCCTCCAAATCTCCTGTCTTTCCACAGATTCCTACCAAAACCATCACTAGTAATTGTAGCTCTCTACAAACAAATCATCTTAATTCTAGTAGGAAAATATTTTCCTGAAGCATTGAAAATTTAAATTCCAAAGTGATTTAATGCTTAAATAACATGTTTGATTCTGATTGAGCACCTGATTCTGATTCTTACAAGGATTCAATGTCACTCAAACTATATACAAATTAAAAGCTTTAAAAAAAAAGGCGGGGGGAATCCATTCTTCTCTTCCAACTCCCTATCTCCCACAGGAAATGCAAAGGGAGAAAAAGCATTTAGGGCAAAATTCCCACTGAAGGCAAGAGCAGTCTTGGTTAATAAAGGGCAACAAGCTTTATTTCTTACAGCGTGAAACTAACAAGCGTTCTGCTGAGATCTCCTCTTCATTTTCCGTGTTCCATCCAAAAGAAAGCTTGAAATGAAGGCCAATCCAAGAAAAATAAAAAGGATCAGCTTTCCTGCACATAGGAAAGAGAAAATTCCTGTTCCTCAAGATGCTCTACCTAAGAATTAGAGGCAAATTGCTTGAGACATGTTGGACAAAGTCACATATTTGGGTTTTTTCTACCTGGATACTTAAGATTTTCATACTCCATTGTCTTCTAAAGATCTGCCTAAAATGTATCCCTTCAAAAGTTAGTTCTCTTTTTCCATAGTATCTTGGAAGAACTGTAAATTTTGACTCCTTAAGACAAGGATAAAGCACATTAATAAATCCTCTCAAAATGATGAATAATTCAACCAGATCAGTGTTTCTTAAACTGTGAACAACAGCGTTCAAAATGGCCACGCTTTTTTGTTTGTTTTTTTTCTCAACAAAAAATCCTTGGTGTTCCTCATTTAAAAAAAATTGTTGGTGTTCCTCAGTCTTAAAAAGTTTAAGAAACACTGAACTAGATAAATGACATATTCTCTGTTTTTAAAATCTGTGTTCTCCAGTGTTCCCAAAGATTTCTTAGGCAAGGAAATTGATTATTCTCCTTAATCAGGTCTTTGAGTTTGAGACCAGAAATGGCTTAAGTTTTCACAGCCAGAGTCTTGCTACTATGGGTTCTGGCCATTCCAGTGACAGATGGCAACTGAATAATCTGCAAGTGAGAACTCCTGACACATGTGCAATCCACTTCATGCTACTGACTCACTTCTCAAGTAGAATTACAACATGTGAATTAGATGGAGAACGAAGGGTGATAGTTGAGTTAACTTGAGAAGCCTCAAAATTGCTTCCACCTTTTGTGTTCACTGCTATTTAGCTGTGATACTTGAATACCTTTTCCAGAGCTGAAGAAGAGTTCCCTTTGGCTCAAAAGCTATCTTACACCAACAGAAGTGAGTCCAATTGAATATATTGTCTCACTCACCTTGTCCTCTACTATCCTGGAGCCAACATGGCTATAACAACTCTGCAAGCACTTTTCTGGAAGTAGCAGACCAAATCATTTGGCTCATATAACTTTGCATGCTACCCTGCATGGGTTTTAGAGAGCCTTCAAATAAGTCATATATCAGTATCTCTCTGCAAGTCAGCTTGCCATCAACTGCAACTGGATTTCAAAGCTTCTAACAGTTCAATAAAAGTAGTCTTATTCTTAAGAATCTCCCTTGGAAAATCAGTCAGCCTTGTACTGATTGGCAGTGGCAAAATGAACTTAGATAAGCAAACTGGGTTAAGATCTTATTCTAAACTTGCCTTGAGCTTCCTGATCACTGGGTATCACATAGATCTGAGCCTAAATTATCCTCCTGTGACAGTATCTGCCCTAAATCAAGTCTTTGCAATTTATTCTCATCTCTGTTTTTCTAATCAGTAGACAGACTTGGACCACAAGCCAATAAGTTATTGCCAAAAAGGAACATTAACCTAGTTGCACAAGCCTTCACAAAATTATTTTTGAATCTCTGACAAAGTTTGCCTTGCACTACTTCTCATTCGCTTTCCTCTGAGCAATTATTACATCAGCCAGCAGAGTTGTCAGATTTGATGTCCTTTCCAACAAAGAGGAATTCTTCTTTCTGCACAGAATACTCTCAATCAGTTTTAAATTAGCATCTTAACAAGTTCACTTTTCATCCTAGTCAAAAATGACATCACTGACATCAGAAACACACAGAGAAAGTCCATGATTCTTCCTAGATGTTCAAAGGACAGATAAATGTTACCTCAATACACCAGAGGATCAAAGAAAATTAAGAGTTACAAAAGACACATTAAAAACTTCAAAGGCCACTTTCTATAGTGGTCAGAATGGCCATTACTAAAGCTTGTGGCCAAGATTTTTAGCAGCTCCTTAGGTGAATCCTAAGCTTTTTAAAATGTACAGGTCAAGGACAACTCCTTGGGAGGAATTTTTCAAAAGTGCATATGGAAATTAGTCATCTAATTTTCATTGGTCCTTCATTCCTTTTGAAAATCGTCTTGGATTCCACCTATCAATCCAGAAACAGTGAGTGCAAATCTTAGAGTACTGATCTTTTATGCATTCAGTAAGATACTTCAGTTGCCAGGGAAATAAATTTCTGCATCAGCTTCAGTTTCCAGATTGTTTTAAGATATAGCCCCATTCAGAGTACATTTTAATAGTCTATTCTAGAAGTGACATGGGTATGAATAATAGTCAGAAAGTCGGTATGCATCCTCCTGGAAATTCTTTAAACAACCCAGATACTGGATATGCTTATTGGCTGCTTTGCCCCGATATGATGTCATAGAGGCATGAAGCCGTATAGCATCATCACTTAGAAAACCCCATAGCCCATATCTACTTATTTTACCCAGCATACAGGTCGAACAGTGTATTTATCAGGTGCTTTAAGTATCTGTGCTTTCAATTAGCTCTTCTTAGTTTATATATAATCCCACACAAACTGTTAAAATAATATTAAGGTTTCTCATTTATTAAACAGCTATTCGATATTTTGTTTTCTCCTTGTCCACTGTGTCTCAGTGCCTTATTTACTTCACACTATTCAACTCCTGCTATGGCGAGAGAGCGAAATATTTCCTCATATTTTCTCTGACAGTAGTCACTTAGTATTATCTGAGTGCTTCTCAAATGATGTTTTTTCAACAGCATGGTTGAGAAATGGGGGCACAGAAATTAAGGTCAAAATTTCAGCTAAGTGTTGGCTGCCCAAATTGAAATTCTGAAGACCTGATTTACTTAAGTCATTCAAAGCACATCTCCCATTGACTTCAGTTTCAGTTGAGTGCTCATCACATCTTCAAAATTAGACCGTAGAGAGTGCCACATTGGGTGCCCAGAAAATGAGGAATACACAATTAGTGACTGTGGAAAGTTTGGTGTAAGTTAGTTGACTAGCATCAAATAGGAACTCTGGCAGAAAGAATCCAATTTTCCAGTGTAGCGTTTTAACTGTCTTAACCATGAGGTTGCTCTTTCTTTACATGCAATCAGCTTCCTAATTTACTATAAAATTTCCAGATTATGCAATAAATGAAGCAGACAGTAGTCTCTCCTTCCTTCCAGAACCCTGTGAAAAACATGAGATTGGAATGGGACTCATTACCTGTGGGTTTCACAGATACTTGGATACAGCAAAGAATATTGAGACTGAGGAGTCTTGAGTTCCATTTCAGGCTCAGGAGGGGAGTGTGCTCTAGTAGGCGTCAATTCTTCTGCCTGTTTTTTCTCCGAGCTTGAGCATTGTGTCTGAGCCCCACACAGCCTGTCACTGTCTTTGTCCCAAACCTATATCTTCCTCACCTCTGGCTCCTCACGCCATCTCATTCTCCTCACTTATTCAGTCCCAGCCTCCACTCATCAGGCTTTTCATCCAAGTCATAGTCTCATTGCCCACCAACCCTGGCTTTATCTTTCTGTCCACTTGTCTGATCTGTCTTTCTTTCTTCGCCTGTGGCCACCCTTTGGCCCACATTCTTTGTCCCATTAACTTCTGGTCCCAGCCTCCTTCTCAGATCTCCTAGTCTGATTTCAGAGAACTCCAAATCTTTGCTTATACTGTCCCATTTTCCCCTCACTCTCTGGTTCCTTGTCTGATCTCTCTCATTTCTCCCCCCTGCCCCACTTGGCTCCTGTCCCAGTCTTCTTGTCCATTGAGTCCTATGCTCATTCTCTAGTGTCCTGTCTCAGGAGTTGTCAGGGCAGTGGCGTTACTGCTACTTTTACTTCTGTGCTACTGCTAGCAGTGGCATAGCCTTCAGAACTGAGCAGCTGGGGAGTGGCAGCTGCTGACCAGGAGCCCAGCTCTGAAGGAGAGAGCTGCTGCCAGCAGTATCAGGGGAGAAAAAAGGGTGGCATGTTATGGTATTGACACCCTTACTTCTGTGCTACTGCTTTGCAGAGCTGGAACCTCAGTCAGCAGCTGCCATTCTCTGGCCACCCAACTATGAAGGCAGCAGCATAGAAAGGTGGTATGGTTTGCTACTGCCACACTTCTGTACTGCTGCTGGTGGTGTGCTGACTTCTGGGATGAGTGCCCAGTCAACTGCCATTGCTCTCCAGCCATCCAACTTGAAGTCAGCACAGAAGTAAGGATGGTAATACCACGATCCCTTAAAATAGCCTAGTGACTCCCCTGCAACTCACTTTTGGATGAGGACTTCCTGTTTGAGAAGTGGTCATCTCTCCCCAAGAAATCTTTATAGGGTTAAAGCACACAAAAGAGCAGATTTCATAGTCCTTAACACGTGTTTCATGATCGTGAACTTAGTAGAGCCCTATTTACATAGCTTTAGCATATGGCAGGAACCCTTTGTTTCAAAACGTGGCTCCCAGACTGATTTATGGAAAAATACTGAGATCCCAAAATGGAGTCCAGAGACATGAGTTCTGGTCACATGTCTTTGTAGAATTATAGCAACCATTGCTTACAGGCTGGCCAAAACACCCACAGGAAGGTAAAGCTGTCCCACAGGCCATTGTCTTTGTTGAGGGGCCATCTGCCCCATGTGACTTCATCGTTGTATCTGAAAGGCTGGCTGTATCTGAAAGAATAAGCTCATTAGAATTACAGATCCCTAGTCAATATTGAAACTTCAGATACAAAAACAATTCATGCATATAAATTGGATAATCCTATTTGGCAAACCATAATTTTCTGACGGTACCTCACGTGATTTGTTTTTTACAAAAGGCATCATCATTACTCTGTAATCCTGTTGTTATATCACTGTGAAGAATACAGGGTACAGTATCACAAATGTAATAGACTGAAAAATTCTAAACAAAATAAAAACTGGAAGTTAAAGGGCTTTAAATACAGCACACAGTGTTCTAAAACAACAAGAAATATATGGATTTGAGCATAGAGGAAACTTTAATTCTTTCATACAGAATGTACATACTGAATTCCTTTTTGTGTGTTTTTTTTTTTTAGTTAGGTGTGTGGTTTTCCCTGGGTTGTGCCTATTTAGCGTTGGAAGACTATGATGGTGCTGCCAAAGCATTTCAGCGCTGTGTGACGTTGGAACCTGAAGTATGTACAATTTACCGATGACTTGATTCACGCTGGGTATGTCTACACTGTGGGGGTTTTCCAGGATACCAGAGGTATCCTGGAAAAACTCTGCTGCGTCCAGGGAACGCATTTTCTCTTCCGCCTTTTTTTTTTCTTCCAGAAGTGCAAACACGCTTCCATGAGGAAGAAAGGATCTTCCAAAAGAGGGCGATTTTTCCAAAATTTGGCCCAGTGTAGATAGGCCAAATTTCGGAAAAACCTCTTCTGAAAATAAATCTGAAAAAGCTGTAGTTTAGATCTAGCCTCTTTGCTTATCTAATAGTTTATATGGATGTAACTAGGCACTAAAAGAAAAAAAATATTAATTCCTTAGTTCTGATTGTTCAGTTTTTACCCTGTTTGTCCACAAAGGATGTATATTTCTCATGTCACATAAAGACTCGCTTGCCACTTGACTTCATATATTCTGCCAGATAAAGCCCTTGTGGCGTCGTACAACACTAAAACAAAGCAGATAGTACCAAACGTTTTTTATTAAAAAAAAAAATTAGAAGTGAAGGAGCATATTTTTAAACTGATAATTAATTACCTCTTTAGACTTTAAAGGAGCCTCCTGCACTTTTCAGTCAGCTGTGCTACTTAACCTTTCTGTGGCAATGGCAAATAATCTCAGAAACACTTACTGAAGAAAAGGTAGGTAATTGGCCTTTAGGACTAAATTTAAGGTTGAACTCAATCTTCCACAAATTGAGATCCACCTTTTTATGATCTACCTTTGCAGATCAATGCAGGTGTGAGTCCATCCTTGCCAGGCTTACAGAAATATAATTCAATTGTGCACTTTCTTCTATCAATAAAATTATTGTTCAACTATAAATTAAAGTCAGCTTTTTATTGAAATCATTCTGACTTGTTTGAAGCAGTGCAGTCCTATCTGTATTCAGAGGAATAGACCATTTGATTTCCTGATGGCTTAAATGGGACTAGTTATATGAGTAAAGGGTTCAGGATTAGGCTCTTAGTCCATCTACACCTAAAACTTAGGTTGACCTAGCTATGTTGATCAGTTGTATGAAAAATCAGCGAGGAGTCCTGTGGCACCTTATAGACTAACTGAAGTGTTGGAGCATAAGCTTTCGTGGGCAAGACCCACTTCGTCAGATGCTTTGCCCACGAAAGCTTATGCTCCAACACTTCAGTTAGTCTATAAGGTGCCACAGGACTCCTCGCTGATGAAGATTCAGACTAACACGGCTACCCCTCTGATGTATGAAAAATGTATACCCTGCAAGAGACATAATTAGCCTAACCTCAAGCCCCAGTATAGACACAGTGAAGTTGATGGAAGAATTCTTCTCTAGACCTAGCTATCTCTGTTCCAGAGGATAGATTTGCTATAGCAATGGAGAAACACTTTGCATCTCAGTAGCAAGTGTCTTCAGTACTGTATGACAACAGTGTAGCAGCAGCACTGCAGCTGTGCCATTATAGCACTTGTAGTGTGAACGTACCCTTAGTAATAGCAGGTGAAATTTCATTCTGTGCATAAGTCTATCATAAGACCAGTATACTAGTTAAGTCTAACCTAAGCCTGCAAGACACTGGAGCCTTGAATGGTCCATATGGCTGCTGTCTTAAGCTCAAGAGTGAATTTCACTGAAATATTCTGGTTCTCTTCTTATTTTGGATTTAGACCATTTTTACTTCTGACTTCAACAGACTTACTCCAGATTTTCATCAGTGTAATTGAAAACAGAATCAGACTCAATATATGGAGTGCTAGAATAGAATTAATTTAAGTATTGCCATTTAAGCATTTATCTTATTTGACTATTGCTACAATGTTATTTATTGTGCAAATTTAATATTTTTAATTCATGTCATTGCAACCTTAGTATTTAACATGTATTTGTATTTATTAATATATATGTACATGAACAGGAAAATTCATCATGTAAATCTAGTATAATTTCATGTGCTGTTCAGATTGTTTTTCCCAAATAAGCAGAATGTCTTTGATTTTTTTTAACTATTTTTGTAATTGCAGAATGCTGAAGCTTGGAACAATTTATCAACTGCATATATCAGATTGAAACAAAAGTAGGTACTTCAAAAGCTTTAGGGAATACTGCTTCCAAAATAAATATTTCAGATTTCCTTTTTCCCAACACGGATATTATTCTCACAGTTGGGTTTACTCATTAATACCAGCCCTCTACTCTTTTTTGTAGTCTCCCATTAGGTGTCCTTCAATGACTCTCATTAAAAATTAATCACCATTCAGCAGATAGAGATGCATACACATAATAGTCTACTTTTTGGTTTTTTCCTCTAAATTAACCATTAATAGATGAAACCCAGACTCAAATCACCTAATTCAGATTTCTGTAATTTGAGACTTTAATATTATAAAGTTTCCTATAGATGCCTTTTGATAATATTCTCGCAAGGGCTTTATATTAGAAGAACAGGTTAATTGAGAGAATTTTCTGTACTTGTCTGTGCTATTTATTTTCTGTACTTGTCCTGGTGTCTTTGTGAAAGTCTTGAAGTTACTTCACCCTCAGAAATCAGGAAGCTTGAATCATACAGTTACTTATGTATTCATTGTGCCTGTTGAACTCTGAAAAGGACAGCTTGTTGCCAGTTCACAAGCCAGGCTGGTTATGCAGTCACTCAGGCTTTGTGTATACTTACCTGGAAGGAGGAATTAAGATACACAACTCCAGCTACATTAATTGCGTAGCTGGAGTCAGTGTACCTTAATTTGACCTTGGTGCTGTCTCCACAGCGGGAGGTGGATGGGTGCGTTCCTTACTCCTTGCAAATCAAGGAGTATTGGTGCTGACCGGGGCAATCTCAGCGTTCAAGTTGGTGAGTCTTTACTAGACCTGCTAAATCAAACTCCAGAAGATCAAATGCCAGAGCATAGGGATGTAAGCGACTAGTCGACTATTCAATATGCATATGCTTATAGTTGCCCCCCCTACCCCCCCTCCCCCGCCTCTATCAGAAAGAGGCAGCAAGGTAGGGGAAGCAGGAGCCAGTGCTGGAGGGAATCTGTTTAAAACTGGTTCCCCCCAGCGCTGTCTCTGTGGGGGTGGAAGGAACTGGAGGTGCTTCCATATTGGAAATGTAGCAAGAGAAGGGATCTTGTACATTCCAGAAGAAGTGCTGTGTCAAAGTCAGACAGGACTCACAGATTTGTCAGACCGCTCTGTTTATTTCAGCAAAGCTCTGCTAAAATGCATCCAGAAAATGTGAGCCTCAAACAAGGTTCAAACCCCTTGATTTATACAGTCAAAAGGCCAAGTTAACAGGATCAAAAGAGGGGCAAAACTTCACATTATTAGTGTGGTTAAGTATCTTCATTTCAATATCAAGCACACAGCAATCTCCTGTCCATATCTCCTTGATTATCTGGAATTGCTTTCTGCCTAACACCTAATGTTCCTTTTCCTGTTAAACTTAGGCCCATCTGGCTAGCACCTTGATCTGCATACCTACAATCAACATTAACATACTTTTCTTCTTCCTCTTAAAAGACAAACAGAATTCCTTCAACTTATTCAATTATTACAGCACAATTCATCTTTCTCTTACAGTATAATTCTTTCTACTTTCACAGCTGCGAGGAGCACGGGGCCAGCCGGGGACTGCTTGAGTCCCCTGCTTGCCATGTCCTCCATGTGCATTTTGCTTTTGAAATGTAGCAAGAGTCAGTGTTGCTCTTGCTACATTTCAGAGGCAGTGGCGCCCTTATCGACTAATCGAGTAGTCAATGGAAATTCCATCAACTATTCGATTAGTTGATTAATCTAAATTTAACATCCCTATCAGAGCATCAATCTTCCTGCTAGTGAAGACGTGGTCTCAAAATGCAGTGTTTTAATTCCGAAGTAGTTAATGCACAGTATTTTTTTTCCAGTCAAAGGATGTTGTTCTCTTTGGCACCTACATCAGAATGATTTTTGCCTGTCCATTTACAGCACGGGACTAAGGCACTATTTAGCAATCTATTCTACTTAACTTTTTTTTTTTTACTATGACTTCAATTTTATGGTATTGTCTGGGTATACTGAAAGAAGAATGGAGACAAGTGATATGGGTTTTAATCAGACACAACTTTATTATACAGATGTCTGGGACTACACAGCAGATGAAAACTGGTGTGCAGGTCAATCCATATTACTTTTAATCATTACTTGGGGCTCCCCTAGCCTCCTTTTATTTCCATCCCGGTCCCCCACCAACTCAGTGCTTGGACCTTATCATCTACCACCTTTGTAGGAGGTATAAGGTGGATGGGTTTTAATCAGACACAACTTTATTATACAGATGTCTGGGACTACACAGCAGATGAAAACTGGTGTGCAGGTCAATCCATATTACTTTTAATCATTACTTGGGGCTCCCCTAGCCTCCTTTTATTTCCATCCCGGTCCCCCACCAACTCAGTGCTTGGACCTTATCATCTACCACCTTTGTAGGAGGTATAAGGTGGACATTCAGGGTTGTTTTTTTTTTTTTTTTTTCCCCCCAAGGATCTCCTTTTAAGTCCTTTCCATGCCATTTATTTGATCTCTGGATGCCTTCCCGGTGGAGTACCTGCATTGTATCTCCACCCAACCTTATGAAATAAGTTACCATATATGGCCTACCATATATTCTTCATATCCAAAAAGGTTCTCCCGGGTCCTTGCTGGGAGAAGGCAAAAAACTCACTCCACTGAAACTGTATGCAAGAGCAACTAGCATGATGTCCACAACAGGTCCTAACCCAACTTGATGTTTGCCTCTACTAGTAGAAGGAATCTGGTTGTTGGCTTTCCTTGCTGCATGTAATAAGGAAGGGTTTGTATCTTTAAATCTTTCAAACCCCACATTCTTGAAGAAGTGAGTGAATGCTACCAAATGCCTACCTCTTTGCAGCAGTTTCTGACTTCCTCTCCTTCAGACATAAAGCAGACAGTCTTTCTCCAGTAAGCCCTGACAGCCCCTCTCCATGTTTTTGTGGTGTAGTTATTATCCAGAGAAACTTATGCCAAAATTGTGAAGTATTTCATGCCCTTAACAGACACAAAAAATATTAAGTGTTGAAAATTTTTTTTGTTGTGCTGTGAAATATTGTCACTTTCATATTTCCTTCCCTGGTAATAACTGAGCATTAAAAAGCTGTTTTATTTTTCAAAAATCAATTACAACCTCAGTGAGAGGTTGATTGTGTTGTCGTCATTAGTTGGCAGAATTCAGTTTCTAGATTAAAAATATCAATACAAATGGCCTAAAGTGCTCAAATAACACCTGCTTTCTAGTTTCTTTTCTTATATAATATTGTTGCATGTATTGTATTATTTTCTTTATATGCATAACAGAAATACTGTCCATTATACTAGTGCTCCTTTCATTGCTTTTAATCAGAAAAGCGCTAAAACTCTATTTATCGCTTTTGGTTAATGACAATAATATTTGTGCATCTTGATCAAAACCTTATGTTTGATCAGTCAAGTATTTGTAGACAACTTAAGACAGTAAATTATGTTGTTTTTCTTTTGAGGATTATGTGTGAGGGGAGATTGATGGAGTATTTTCATTTTCTGTGATTACTTAAGTAAAGGGCTAACAATGTCTTTTGCAAAGGAAGGCATATAAAAAATGGCTCAACACCGGAGGTTGAGTTCTCAGGAAGCAAACCCATGGTCTGCTTGTGTGGCTGTTCCAGGGACATAGGAATTGAAAGTGGTCAAAGACCACTGATCCAATATATGTCTCTAGAACAGTAATAGAGGAGAAATTATTGTGGCAAGGCCAACAGCCATGTCATTCTCACTAAGGACAATTGGTATCGGAGAGAGAGAAACACACACATCTGTGGAATTAACTGGTTTGAGTGGAAGGGATTGAAAGAAAGTGATTCCCAGACTTTCATGTAAATTCTGAGCAACTAATCTTAATGTTGCATCAGTTTTCAAAATGTATTTGTGAATTATGTAGCCTTTAAGTAAATACAAAATGCTTTTAATATATTAAATACCAAATATTTTCTTTTTATTCTTAACTAGAAACAAAGCATTTCGCACTCTTCAAGAAGCGCTCAAGTGTAACTATGAACACTGGCAGATTTGGGAGAACTATCTTGTTACCAGTACAGACATTGGAGAGTTTTCAGAAGCAATAAAAGCTTATCATCGGCTCATGGATTTACAAGAAAAGTACAAAGATGTGCAGGTCAGACAGATTACTTTTTATGTTTTTACATGTTCATATATAGTCTTTTTCTTTTCTTTTTTTTTTGTAGCGGTTATTTGCATCATTATCAAGAACATTTCAATACTGATAGCATTATTTGCAATGAAAGATATCCAGGCAAGTCTGCTTCTTTATGAGACTTTGATTATAAAGAGGGGAGATGAAAACAGTACTCTGGCTTTGGGGAAGAGTAGATTTAGAGTTTGCTGCTCAGGTCCCTCCCTAAATTAAACTGTTGGGGATTTTTTTCATATTTCATGCACTGTTACGTATCTCACTGTAATTATTAATACAGATTGTTTTAAACCATTCAGCTGTAGTAAGGTTATGATTTTTTCCCCATACATTTGAAAGTGAATATCTTATAAAAGCAAACCTTTGCAAATGAATTAAATTTCATGTATTGAAAAATATGTAATTGTGATTTTAAACCTGCATAATCCACAACTGAAAATGTAATGGATGAACTTTATATGCCTTTCACTACAGTAAATGAAAGCTATTGTTGGTATGTTTGTTTTTTAATATTAAATGTGCTTTATAGCCATGACAAACATTGAGTTTGATCCTGCAATGTGAAGAACAATCTATACTATGGTAGTCAAAAGGAATCTTGCTTGCCTTTCTTGTTTTGTTGGTTTACTTTTTAAGTGCCAGAAGTGCTCAAGTATTAGTATTAATCAGTTGTATAAAACTGCCACACGCAAGTCAGTGGTGGTTCCGTATCAGTAAAATCAGTCACATTTGAGATATCTAACACTGAAATGTTTTAAAGCTCTCTCGTGTATTTCAAGCACAAATCAATATCTATGGAAACTATAGTGTTCCATATGGAAAGGATTAGTCTGTTGGCAGCTACGATGCTGTAATTAGCAAGGAATCCTGTTTATTCATGGAGACATAGTGTAAATTTTCTAGATATGAAGTGACTTTCTGAATTACTAATTCAGATAATATTTGTGTTATACAATACAGTCCAGAACTGATCCTAATATCACTCTGGTTGATCAAATTATCATTAGCCTAACAGAGTAAAATGTCCTGCATTCACATAACATGTCAAAAAGTGTGCCTTTTCTGCTGTGAGACTTCACGTGTTTTGTGCTGGTACATGCTCCTTTCTGAATCAAGTGTGTTTTTAGGATTGTATTTTGGATATTCACTTACGCTTTTAGCATAGTGGTTAGAATGATTTTCCATTTTGTTACATAATTTTCCTTTCTGTTCTGTTCTCCCATACAATTTTCAATCACAAACTGTTTTTTGTTTTTTTAGGACTGTATCAATTTTAGATGTCCTGAGTTTCCATTTATGGTGTCCTAGTAGAAAGGAACCTTCAAAAGTCTTCCAAGTTTCTGCATATTCTCTTTAACGTAGCTTTATGCAATTAGAGGGATTTTCATATGTGGTTGTGAACAACCCTAAATCTGATTAAGAATTACAGGAAGGCTTATATCAATAATTGCTTAGAGAGGTACAAAGTACTCTCATAGCTAAAAATATATAGATAAAAACAAATAGACTGTAGATGTGGCTAAGTGGAAGTTGGTGTGTGTAATGCCTCTTTCCATGCCAACACAACTTGATGTTCTTGATAGATACATTCAGCTGTATTAATTGACATGTCAAGAAAGAAAGGGGGAAGAACATAAACATTGGACAAATCAGTATAAAATAACAATCTAAATTAGGAGGCTACATATAAATTAGTGCATAATGCTTTAACAGTACAAGTCCTTGACCCATACGTTAAAAAAAACAAGGAGTCCAGCTGCACTTCAAAGACTTAACACATTTATTAGAGCATTAGAGAATAAGTTTTTGTGAGCGATGACACACTCCCTCAGATGGTGAAGAGAAAAATCCCCTTTTCTCTTCAGAATCTGAGGAAGTGAGTTGAAGCTCATGAAAGCTTATGCTCTAATACCCTAATAAATGTTCGGAAGCTTATGATACCATCTACATGTTTTGTTAGTCTATAAAGTGCTACCAGACCATTTGTTGTTTAAGTTTATCCTAATAAATATGTTAGTCTTTAAAGTGCCACCTGACTCCTTGTTGTTTTTGCGAAAACAGACTAATGCAGCTATCTCTTATACATTAAAAAATCACCCAAGGTGTGCTTCGTAGCCCATTGTTTCAGTATTGTCCGATATAAGACTACATGTACTAATGTATATTTAGTGTGTAATTGAAGTAATTTAGAATATCTCTCTTTTTGTATGCTATGTTAAGATTCTTAATTTTATTTCAGCATATTATACAAATACGTTTTAAACAAATACAATTTTATTAAAAGGAGTTGGTAATTGAATTATATTATGTTTTCTAGTTGTACACGAGGTCATAGCTTTTCTGTTTTGGACTTGTGACCACACAATGTAATTGTGGGAAAAGATGCTCCTGAGTTATTCTAGTTATCTAATGATATCACAGATCCCTTCAGGGTGGGAAATATAATAGGCTATAGGATATTTTGTGAGATTGAATGTGTACACATTACAGAGGCTATAGTCAAATTATAAAGAGAAAATAATATTCATTCCTATATCTAAAATAACAGTCATCTTGGGAAAACTGAGATGTGGTACACTAACAGTTGATCTTTCCATGGATCACATGTCTAAGCTAACGCTGGAGTTTTTAAGATATTAAAAATGAATATATTAAGTGACAGCACTGCCTTTCATATATAAGAAAGCTTCCTCTCCTTCTCCTTAGCTTACAGCTCCTTCTCAGATTTGCAATATGAACACTTACATTTACAATGTGTACATTTTAAAGCTCATTAATCAGAACAAAAATGATTGAATGGAACATGTTTGCAAGACAGACTGTTGGTCATGGCACCTAGATATTAGTTGAAGGAAAAAACTTGAAGGAGATTCTTTGGCACCTTTTAAGAAACATAACGTTCACCATACATACATACATCTATATTGATCGGTAAGAATTAAGGTTGAATAAAGGGCTATATTATATCAAGTAGTATTAAAAACTGATTCCTGAATAGTGTCACTAAAATCATGTGCATGTTATTCTTAGCATTCCTTTTTATAGTCCTGGCCCTTAAAATTTGACAATTTTTCCCCGATATAAAAAACCTAGATTTACCTGAAATTGTTTGGGTTTCCTAACTCAATGAATTTTTGTTTTTTTGGAAAATAAAATGAAAATGTATGTGCATTATTTGAATCATTGCTCTGGGGAGCAATTGGGAATGAGGGGTTCAGTATGTAGGCTGCCTGGGAAAAGAGGACTACTCCAGTCCCCTCTCACCACAACAGCTTGGAGCCAGGTGAGAAGTGTCTTTCCATGGCTGCTGCAGCTCCAGCAGGTACTGCTAAGGGAGTAGTACATGTCCCTCAGGTGGGGCAGGTCAAGGTATGTCTGCCCCCTGCAAGCCCCAGCCAGCGTGAGGAATGCAACAAACTATGTACTTTCCTCTTGTTCCCTGATGGGGAATAGTGAGCAGTGTTCCCATATGAATCAGAGGAGGTAGGAGAGCTTCAGCACTTCCTGCTCTCCCTAAAAGGGCACCTGTGGGCTGGGAGGCTCCAGATTGGGGCAGTCCCAGAGAGGAGGATGTACCCCCAGCCAGCTCCTTGCACTTTCCTGGTGATTCTGTCTTTTTTCTGTGTGGTTTAATGAGAAGCAGACCCGTTCCAGGTAAATCCCATTTTCTTGGCGTATCTAAACCCTTCTTCGAGAGAGGTTCCTATAGGTCTCCACAGCAGGTGTTGGTGCGTCCCAGCGCTGCAGACCAGATTCTTCACAGCAGTGCATGGGGGCCTTGCATTTGTGGCAGGGGAGGAGTATGTGTGCCACTCGGATCTATTGTGCATGCGTGGCCACCCTCCCCCTCAGTTCCTTCTTACCATCCCCAGCTTAAGACTGAGCTCAGCAGTGCTCATCACTCTTCATTAATCCTGTAGATAAGTAGTTAAATTTTTAGTTCTTTCTTCCTCAGTTACCCTATGCCTTATCCAAATTCATCTACCTTAAAACAAAACAAGAAAACCTCCAGTTTTCGCCAACTTAATCTCCCACTGTTTGCATTCACCACAATGCCAGGGTCACCAGGCTTTAAATGTCGTTTGGCCTGTAATGATGCCATATCTGTGTCCGATGGACACGCTAAGTGAAATGCCTCAGGGAGTCCCATGTTCAACAGGACTGCCAGCACTGCACCAAACTTGAGGCGCAGTGGCAGGGACCTCAGCCTGAAAATGATTGTTAGAAAAGGCACAACATCCCTCCTTGGACCTTGGCACACAAGGTCTTGACAAGACTTAAAAAGGGAGGGGAATCCCCAAAGACGGGAGCACAAGGGGCAGTCGCCTAAGCAGCGCACAACCGAAAAATCGGTACCAAGGGCTGAGAGGTCACCTCGCCTCAGCACTTGACACCCTGGGCACTTCTAGCATTGATCAGACTTTCTCCAGGCACGGTACCCACGGAGCCCGTACTGAGGCTACAAGCCCTTCTGTGCCTGCCTCTCGTGTCTCGGCACATACTATAGCACCAAGTAACCAGACTGTTGAACTCTCAGCACCAATGCCTATTGCCACTGTACCACAGCAACCAGCCATGCAGTTCATCAGCACTGTCCCACCAATAGCATCATATCTACCTCAGCACTGCATCCCACATTGGTGCCAACCACAACCACGCCAGCCCTGGTACCGTTCATGGTACCAACTACTCTGGCACCCAGGTATTTACACCGGGGAGACCTTGCTGTTTCATCTACATTTAATTCTCCATTCCTTGGTACCAACAAGTCACCTCCATCAGTGTTACCAAAACATGTCTCATCACCTCCACTTTTCTCCAGCGATGATGACAATGAGGAGGGGCTATCATTCTCACCCCAGTTATTGCCCAGTACCGAAATATGTGTCTTCAACTCATCCCACCTTTAAGCATCCAGTGAGCATGCCCCTCTGAGGTCCATACCCGTGGATGCCACCGCCTGTGCATTATGCTGCATAGTGGCAATATTGGACACCTCATCCATGTTGCAGTTCAGAGTTGACAGTTATGCCACACTCCTTAGTAAATATGATTTAAATGACTACTCAAAGTTCAGCACTTTTATTGAGGGATATATCCGAAGCCAACAATCAAGAATTCAAGGTGATCATTGTGGAAGGCCATGCAATATCACCAACAGCTCTACAAGCTTTTCTCAATGCTGCAGATACCTCCACCAGATCAACAGTAACTGCAGTCATTATGAGATGGGCCTCCTGGCTTAACTCTTCAGCGTTTCCTCATGAAATTCAGGCAACTGTGGAGGACTTACCATCCGAGGGTGAAAATCTCTTTCAGTTGAGACCAGTGAGGTCCTTCGTTCCGTGAAGGATTCCTGGGCGAAACTCCGCTCTCTTGGCATCCACACACCTGCAACCAGAAGGAGGCAGTATAGATACCAACTGTACTTGAGACCAAGGTATCCACCTTACACCTACCAACACCACAGACATTACATCTGATAGGATTGTTTGTAGTATTCATCTATCAGGATACTCCATCCCACCCTCCCACCCTTCTACTCTGTTCCCCTTTAGGGACCACTCTCATCAGGCTATCTTGAAACAAAAGGTCAAACAACTCCTATAATTCAGCACTATAAAAGTGGTCCCACAGGAATATCATGGGAGAGGATTTTATTCACATTATTTCCTCTCGCAGAAAAAGACTGGAGGATAGCATCCAATTTTGGACCGTAGAGCCCTTAACACATTCGTAAAAAGGCAAAAGTTCAAGATGGTAATGTTAACTACCATTATATCTTCTCTGGAGCTGGATGATTGGTTTTTGTCTCTCGACTTAAGGGATGCCTATTTCCATATTATTATTCATCATGCTCATGGACAATTTCTCCGTTTCATCTTAGGTACACAGCACTACCAATATACTGTCCTACCCTTTGGACTCTCCAGGGCACCAAGACTATTTTCAAAGATGCTGGTGGTGGTTACTGCGTACCTCAAGAAATAGGACATTATTATCTACCCTTATGTCGATGTTTGCCTCATCAAGGCAAGAACTGAGTATGACTTTCATCGCAGCACTTATCTCATCCAAGAATATTTTCAATCTTTTGGCATTTTAGTAAAGGAGACAAAATCAGTGCTCACACCGTCTCAATCCACACAATTCATTGTAGCACATCTCGATTCAACTATTGCTATATTCTCTCTATGGCAAGACAGGTTTTTAAAGATTCTCAATCTAGTTCTAAGCTGCTCCTAATGCAGCCTGTGCTTGTCTCTTCATGAGATGCCTTCAGGGCTGGCTCAGGTTGACCTACAAACCAAATCTCCACCCTCTAACCAAAATCCTCTCTCTTCCTCCCACAGTAAAAAGTGCAATATTATGGTGGACAAAACCAGAGAATCTGTGCCTAGGAATCCCCTTTCAAATTCCAAAACCCATGGTAGTCATCACTACAGATACCTCTTTACAGGGTGAGGAGCGCACATAATACTTCATGACTCAGGGCCTATGGACACCAACAGAATGGGTGCTACACATCAATGTCCTTGAGCACAGAGCCATTCAGCTCACTTGTCAACATTTCCTTGTAGCCTCTTTCTGGCCCCGGCAACCATTGTTCCCTCTCTTGAACAGAATGGCTCTGTCCTCCAATCATGCTTCCATGCAATCCGAAGGTCCTTTTCCAACCAGGGCTCCAAGTTCCACACCCACAGTTTGTAACACTGCACCAAAAAGCCTGCTACCTAGATGGCTCTCAGAGATAAAGCTACAGTGCTAAACCCAGGTACAAAATGTGCTTCTCCAGAGTAGAGTCCGTTCAACTTGCAAGACATATAGGGGCAAAAGATCACAATTTGTCCACTGGGCTACTCCGTGCAGCAAGCCCAGAGACAGTCACATTACCTGTGACACTTGACTACTATTGCATTTTAAAAACTCCCATCTCGCTCTCAGTTTGATTAAGGTACACTTGGCAGCTTTCGCAACATTCCATAAGAAGATTGATGACATCATGGTCTTTGCACATACCAGGTCGAAGCAATTCCTGAAAGGCCTACAAACGTTATACCCAGATGTAACCATTCCACATACACATTGAAATTAAATTTGGGACTTACACCCTCACAAAGCCCCCATTTGAACCCATGGCTACGTGTTCGCTTCTTCACCTATCCTTGAAAATGGCATTTCTAGTGGCGGTAACATCAGCCCATCAGGTAGGGGAAATGGCTGCCCTCGTGGCAGACCTGCCCCCCATACACCATCTTCTTCAACAACAAGGTGTCTCTGTGCACCCATCCCAAGTTCCTCCCCAAGGTCCAATCATCTTTCCACATCAATCAAACCATCCACTTACCTGCTGCTACATGGACCTCAAACTAACTTTTGCCAGGCACTACCCACTTTCTCAGGGACCTCTTTCCTCCAGCAGGGTGGTGCAGGTTGTTTTGTAAATGGCCTACTTACCTGATCTGAAGTCCCTACCTCCATAGGACACATTGCTTTTCAGTCACTTGCTATGGAGCACCCACAGGGATGTGTCTTGAAGAAGAGGTTACTCACCTTTAGCAGTAATTGACGTTCAAGATAAGTATCCCTGTGGGTGCTCCACTACCCTCTGTTCCTCTCTTTTACTTCAGACTCCTTTTTGTTACCAGGCCAGGAGTCCAGGTGGAGAAGGAACTGAGGGAAAAGGTGGCCGTGCATGCACAGTAGTCCCGAGTGGCAGCTGTGCATCTCCCCTTCCATTCATGCACAACCCCCTGCACTGCTGTGAAGAATCCGGTCTGCAGCACTGGAACACATAAACACTGGCTGTAGAGCACCCACGGGGATGCTCATCTTGAAGAACGTCCGTACGTCCGTTTCTGCTAAAGGTGAGTAACCTACTCTTACCTTGCTTGAAGTTATAAGAGGAAGCTGCGTGCCAGATTTGGTAGTCCTAGCTCTTACCGTTTAGGAGGAGTTCTTGAACAAACAGACATATAGTAGCTATATGGTAGATTGCTTATATTTATGATTGCTTTTGTTATTTTTTATATTTCCCTATACTTACTGTGGCAAATACCTTTAATATTGCAAATACTTAGGTAATCTAGTATTAAAGAATCCTGAATGTATGCCATTTGGCAAGTTTTTAGGGCACTCCTGTACAGATTCTCAGCTGATGTAAACTATCTTTACACCAGCTAAGTGTCTGCCTCCCTCAATTGTTTTAACTTCTGGTGTGTATGGGAATGTTATCCGAGGCACTTCCAAACGTGGTAATTACATAACTTTTCACAGAATGCCGATCACTGGAGCCAAGCAGTCAGTGTTGATCTGTTATGTTAACATGCTGAGGATAACAAAGGATACCAGATGCTCTATTGGTGGCTGGGTTGTTTTGCAACATCGCTGTCAGGAGCAAACAGACATGCTGTACTGTCTGTGAATGTGAGTTCAGTGTGCGGCATAACATGAATACAGAATCCCACAGAGGAAACCACATAGAATAAAAATTTCTACTGCCTCTTCCCATTATGTATTATCCTCATATAACTGACTCATGCTGCTAAAATGTTTAGTAATTAGAGGCAGAAGCAAAACTTTTTGTACTTGTGTTTCTGTAAGGACACTCTCCAACAGGGATTTTGAATGAGGAGGTGGAGGCGAGGGTGATTAACATTTTCAAGAGCCACCTATTCTCTGACATGGCTCATTAGTGGTCTCTTCCTTAATTTTAAGCTTTAATTTGGGAAAGTATTTACAGTGAATATATTTACAGGGAGCTGCATTACAGAGTGCTGACTTTGATCACAAGGGACCTGTTATCTGAAGTGCCTTTCCTCACTTGAGCTTTGTCAGCTCAGCTTTGATTAGCATCAGTGCAGCATTTAAACATGTTTTCACGAGTTGTATTTTTATATGAAAGGAATTGTTGTATTTCGCAATTACCTTGTTCTACATTAACTAACATTAATTAAGATGTTTAAGGATATTTTTTCTTGTGCCTTTTTTTTGTTTGTTTGTTTATAATAAATTAGTATGGGTCACAAAAAATAGGAGAGGAAGTGGAATCCTGGTATAGTGGAACACTTACACACCCAGAGGCTTTGGACAGTGATCCTATGAGGAATAGCTTATTAATCAGACATAAAGAAAATAAAAGATGTTGCTTGCACAGGATCATTTTTAACTTAACATCTATTGAATATGGAGTATTAGCGGACATGGGAATTTAACTTCCCTCTGAGATATTTAAATTAAAGTTTTACCATTACAATTTTTAGTCTGAAGGTAGAAAGTTGTGACTTGATTGCTACCCTGCTTTGGTGTTTGGATGCAATCACATCCAGTTCCAACAAAAATATTAACAACTGTGCAATACAACCAAGACATTATTATGTTTTAGCTCATTTTCAAATTGAACCTTCAGTGTAGTATTTATCTGTTTTTATACTATTGAATGTGATATAGCAATGGAATACAGTGTTATTTACATTACTTATTGCCTTTCAAGGGCATAACTGTTACATGACTCTGTATTTAAAAAAAAATTAGAAATATTAAGGTATACATATTGGAATTTACAGCCCCAGGAGGACCACAACCTGATTAATATTTGGGCATATTATCCACAAAATTATTGTATATTGTTGTCACTCCCTCAGTAACAGCACCAAATATTTTATTTCCTACGACTGTCTTCAAGAGTAAAAGTCTAACTGTTGATCAGAGGAAAAATAGGTCTGCCTTCACACTAACTTAAACAATTATTTAGAAAATATGTATTAATAATTTTGTAAAAGATTAAATAAAAATGTTAGTTTGATATCAACTCTGAATAGAAAGTTTTTGGATTTTTCCACTGGGATGTTTTTTGTGGTTGCTTTTATTTTTCTATTATCTGTGTATAATAGTTCGCAATATTTTAGTAACTTTTGTAATATTGTCATCCATTTTAAAAGTATTATGTACTGACCAGGAATTTGAAATACCTAATTAAGCATCACTTGATTGCTGTTGGTTTTGACCAAATAGTGTAATTCAGTTATACTGTTAAGAAAAACATTTAATTGGAAATACTGAGCTATCATCTAAGTATTTTAAAACTTTAGTCCATTTAAATCTGTTTAAGAACTCCTCTTAAACAGTAAGAGCTAGGACCACCAAAATTGGACAGTCAGTATCCAGCTTCTTCTTGTATCTTAAACGTAAAGCAAAGTAGGAGTTTGGTTGTGCCAGGAATTCAATTGTGTATCTGTCCCCCAGCTGGGGAACATAACACCCCTCCTCTGGTTGTGCCCACTGCAGCTGCAGCAGCCATAGACAGGCATTTCTGACTAAGGATGTTAAATATCGGTTAATTTGCTATCGGTCAGCTCCCGCAGTGGGGCTCTTGTACATTTTAAAGGAGA